GGGAGCTTCCTTCTGGGTGCTGGGACTGGCTCACCTTCTCTGCCCTAGGAGCCTGGGATGGAGGTGGGGAGCTTCCTTCTGGGTGGTGGGGCCGGCTGAGCTTCTCTGCCCGAGGAGCCTGGGATGGCAGCGGGGAAGCTTCCTTCCGGGTGCTGGGACTGGCTCAGCTTCTCTTAGTGTTTCTGTTTTAATATTTAGATCTTTCATCCATTTTGATTTTACTTTAGTGCATGGTGAAAGATAGGGGTCTAGTTTTAATCTTTGGCAAGTTGAAACCCAGTTTTTCCAGCACCATTTATTAAAGAGGCTATCTTTCCTCCAGTGAGGATGGTTGAATGCCAAGAATTTTTAACCTATTATTCTTTATTTTATGCTTCTCTTATTATTTTGTAAAAAATAAAATTGTCCTTTGTCTCCTCCAGCAAGCCTGTTTCATTAGAGGCCATCTGCTTTTAGCACATCTGATTGGTCTCCCTCTCTCTAGTTGCTGGATTCTTTTAAGCACTAGCTTATTTCCACTTTCTATTTTCTGCTTAAGCTAGCTTAAGCCTCTCCACAGTTAGAGGAACAACACTTTGTACTCCTGCATCAAGAATGTGAAAGGAAGCCTGTATATTCCTACATGCCCCTAAACGTAAGTGTTCATGTTCTTTTGGCTTTTGGTATGTGGAAGAAGCTCCCCTGCACTTCTTTGAGTAAGAGCCAATGTTTTACCCCTCCTTTCCTGTCATGCCTGGAGGGAAAGGCTGTTACAGACCACCATGTTCAAATGTTTGTGCCTGTTGGAAACAATGTTGCAGAACACCATGCCCCAACCCTTCCGTTCCAGGAAGTCTGAGTACATCTGCGCCACACCTGGATCAGCGGATGGAGGCCACACTATCTCTGCCCCACAAATTCCTCAGAACAGCAACTCTTCCTCTTCCCATTTGACTCAGCCCATGTGCACCCTGGGTGAAAATAAACAGGCTTGTTTGTTCACACAGTGCATGCCCAGGTGCTCCCTCTCCTTCTCACCTCTCTAACACACTTACCACCAGGATCACTCCCATGCTCTGAGGTGGAGTCACCCCTTAGCCAAGGCATCCATAGTCCTTAGCCCTTTTATGTTTTCACCCCAGGGCTCTCTGATGCTGTTCCTCCAGCCGCCTTCAGAGCCTGGACACCCCAACAGAATTAGCAGCCTCTCACTTTTCCTGCTCCTCCAGCTACTTATCTCAGCCAGCTGAAGGCTTCAGGAAGGAAGAGTTTCAGAGATGCCAAATCCTTCTATTTTAGGTTTTGATGAATGACCAGTAGCCTATATTTTTGTAATTGGTTACACTAAGTCTTACATGAGTGAAGTTATGCAAATTAATATATTAAGAAAATGTAAAATGATGAAATCTTAAAATTAGAAATAGGATGGAAGTCATGTTGAAAGGAATCTCATAATTTATATGGTGCCTTATTTTTTATGTGATTTTATAAACATAATCTCATTTAAGTTTCATATTTTTTTTGGTACTGGGGATCGAACTCGGGTCCTTGAGCTTACGCAGCAGGCAGCAAAACCACTGAGCTAAATCCCTGGCCTGAGTTTCATATTTTGAAATTCCATAGTAAGTGTAAAAGTCATCATCCCTATTTATTCCACTTAAGAGTATGGCCTCAATGTGCATCCATTTAGCTATAAATGTCTCTAGTTTCTCATTCTTTATGGCTGAGTAGTACTCCA